TCCAATGAGAGGCAGTGCAGGTGGCCAGTGTGTGTTAGAGATGCTCGTCCTCTCAGGTGAGGACACAGGCAGACAGACACACTGTGTAGATAGCACTTGTCACCATCACACTGGCAGATCTGTAGTCAGGTGACAACCAGCCCTGGTGACAATGTGAGCAGGCAAAAGCCCCAGCAGGTCCCCTGGAAAGAAGAGCGAACAGACCCTTCTCTCCAAGGAAACAGGAAGTAGGACGCATCAAAGTGCCACAGGTACATCCCTTCCCCAGCAGTGCTGATCCTTAAAGTTCATCCCACTAAAGTCCTTGTAGAACTTTTCAAAGATGTCTTTTCAAGAGTGTTCATCACAGCACTTTTTGAAACAGTGGGATTTAAAGCAACAGTAATGTTTATAGAGAGGGGATGGGGTCCATCAGTTCTGGTTCACGTGGATGAATGTATGCTGTGCAGCTGGAAAAGTGGATGTCGTGTCTCTACCCAATGTCAGGGGAGGCCTCAGGGTGGAAGTATTCAGATCCACCGCCTGCATCCAGGGCCCCATCTGGAGGACCACATATGTATGAAATCAACATAGACATAAATGAATCTGATTGTGAGTGTGTGAGAAATAGAGATAGAGACAGACTGAGAGACACAGAGACAGAAAGATGAACACCAAACCATTCATGACAGTCACCTTCGTGGGTGGGATTTGCAAATCTCTTCTCTTCTATTTTAGGCAATATTTCAATGTTTTATAATGTGTCTGTATTGCTCTACTAATTTTAAAAGGATTAAAATCCTATGCTAATGTGACTCATTCATAACTCATCTCTGGAGTAATTAAAGTACATTAATCCTATTTTTAAAAGATTTATTTTGAGGACAATAAGCATTTATGAGAATAAAAGAATGAATTCCACAGCAGTTAAGAATCAGTAAAGAACAAAGCTTTCTTAGGACTTAGTTCCAAGTCAGCTCCGTGGCATAAGGGTTTCTCTAGGAGGTCGTGTACGTTCTGGATCTGCATCCAATAGAGTTGAGGAAGAAGTACCAGACCTGGACACTGAAGACTACAATAGATGAGAGATTTTGTTGAGAGAAATTAAGACCTACATTACAGAAAATAACCCCATATTCATGGAGCAGAAGGCTTAATTCCACTAAGGATTCAAAGAATGCCTACCCAAATCCCAGGTGGTGTTTTGCAGGAATTGACAATCAATCTAAAAGTCATGTGGAAAATCTAGGGGCTCAGAATAGATGAGTGAATCTTGAAAAAGAAGAACAAAGTTCGAGGAATGGAAAGCCAGATGGAACCCATGGTTGATACAAAGACACTTTAAGCTGAAGATACCTGAGATTAGATAGATGCAGAAGGAAACCTGACATGGAAGCCAGTTCTCTCCTCCCCATTTGCCCTATTAAGTTAGGTTAATAAAAAGCCTTTAACTTTCACCATTTTACATGGTAGTTACTTTTCTGGTTGGCTCCTGTGTGTGTATAAATAAACTGTTTCTCTCGTTCATCTCCTATTTACTTCTGTGGGCTTTTGGGAGGGACTCTGGATGATGGGGAACTGCTCTTTTCTCACCTTCTTTAGTGATATCGTTTGTCCAGGGTGAAATGATAAAAAAAGGCTCCTTGGTTTTGGGCAGATTTGGAACATGTGTACCTTTTGAGATCTCCTGGAGGAAAAAAGGGGTTCAATAATGCTGGGAGAATTTACTGGTTGTCTTGGCCAAATGCCCAATAAGACGCTTTTGCAAGGAATTTTTAAAGGTTCTAAAACAAAGCTCCTATCTAAACCTCTTGGATGATCAAATAGAAAAAAGACAAAGGAGAATCATGGCTAGCCTAAGAACTCTTGCTTAACAAAATGGAAGGGCAGAATCAGATTCAGAGCAAAAATTAATATCCATTTACACCATCAACCCTCCCACACTTTTGTAGACTGGCTTCATGTAATCTTCCAGATGGCCCCTGGATAAAGCCCTCACCAAGATCACAAATGACCAGTTCCTTTGCCTGGACCGCATGCTCATTTTCAGGGCTTAGCCCAGTGGGAGGCTGGTCCTCAGGGCCTGAGAGGGGCTATTTGTGAAACCTCCTCCACTAAGACCCACCAGAATAAAGGGGAACTGTGCTCTGAGGGAGAGAGAGCACACCGAGCCTCTGTGGAAGCATCTCTGAGAGCATCCCAAAGGCACACAGCTCTAACTCTGGACACAGGAATCTTTTGATTGGCATCTTAGTTGGCAATCACCTCCTAGATAGAAAGAAGCAGATTCAAGATGTTTCATTTGATGGGCATGTCGGCCTCTCAAAATTATCGATGAGGAGGATATTTAATTCTCTGCAGAAGTAGAAACACCCATCCCTGCTCTGCTGACCTCATCTACAGAGAAACAGAGACAGGGCTGTAGGGGTGATTAAATACCCACACACCCTTCTTACCGACGTCAACATCCCCACTATCTTCTCCTGTCAGGACCCTGCACAAAAACTGTGAGTCAGTACCAAATATCACATACCCGTCACCCTGAACACCTCTGTGTATCTCTGTGTCCAAATCAAGCACTAAGGCCTGTGACCATTACTGTCAAGTCGTTTCTACCTTTCAGCCCATCTTCCACTGTCATCCCAGCCCAACCTCGGTGTCTCTCTCCAGGTCAGCAACACTCTTCCCCACTGGCTTCCTATCAGCTTACCTTGCCCTCCTTCCATTGTTTATTCCCCATATATTACCCACAATGGTCTTTTTAAAGTACAAATCAGATCATGTTGCTCCCCTGTACAAAATAATCTGGTGACTTTCCCTTCTATTCAGAAGAAAATCCACAATCCCTAACATGACTCCCAAAGCCCTGTGTGATCTGGTCCCTCACCCATCTCTCCAGCCTCAGTTCTAATTGTTCTGCTCCAGCCCATCTTCACCGTCTAGATAATCCCCACCAGGAAACCTATGTTTGTAACTCCAAGTCTTGTACTTCTCCCTGCCTGGGAGGCTTTTCTCAGCTGTTACCTACGTGGCTTATTCTCTTAGTTCATTCAAGACTTTGCTCAAATTGTTTTACCCTCAGAGAGGACTTATCTAATCACATTATTTAAAATAGCATGCACATATATATTATTCAATTATTTTCTATCCTATCATGATTTATTTTTCTCTGTGGCAATTATTAGCACCTGGCAGTATATTATATATTTATTTACTTACTGGTTTATTGTCTGTCTTTCTTACTAGACCTATATTCATGGAACCACAAATAATGGGTTTAACCAGGAACTTTCAAACTGCCTTTAAATGAGTTATTTTATAAGATGAGAATTAGAGGCTTCCGCGGGTTGCTTAGAGGAAAAAAGAGAAAGGATTTAGGTTGAACTAGGTTATTAAGGACCTGGGAGTTGATGGTTACGTATTTTATAGATAGTAGTGTGTATCTGTTAATACCAAACTCCTAATCTAGCAAAAGACCGAGCTGATTACTTTTTTTAAAAACCTTTTTTCTTTTTAAAGTTGGGTTGTTTGAGATCTCTTTTCTTCTTTGTTCTTTTCCTTTTTTTAAAAGAATTTTTTCTTATTATTTTTTACATTGAGGTACTGGAAATTGAACCAGCACATACTCTACCCTTTGAACTATTCCCTCCCTTCCAAAGTTGATTACCTTTTTACTTTGACAATACCATATTGAATTAAGATTTTTTATTCCATTTTCCCTTCAGAGACTTTACAACTGAGTGAGAGAGAATCAGAGGAAGCCCTGGGCCACCCCTTCCTTCTCAGTGGGTTACTACACAGCAGAGGAACTTGGCTGTCGCCAGGCCCAGCTCACCTTTCTGCTCTGAGTGCCAACTCAGGCCACTTCTCTAAACAGAGGCATGTTAGAAGCAGCAGATAGCCAACTAGTGAACAAAAATTACAAAACTGACCCAGCCTGCAGTTGGACATCATTTACTCTGAAACAAACCTCTTAAATCTCTCCTTCCCATTATTGGATGGTTTTCAGAAATATTCTGATGGAGATGAATCTGGCTCTTTGTTTTTCTGTGTTTCTTAGGCCTTCTATGACTTTAACTGCTGGCTTGATTTTCTGCACTACTTCAGGGAAGCCAGGCAGAACACGTGAACAGACCCTGCAGGCCATGGCTGAGGCATCTTGTCAAAGCATCCTTGTTGTGCAGAGCCTGCATTCATGGGACCATTTTTATTGCTCCTGTAATTAGTTCTGATACAAGTGTCCCACAGAGAATGAGGTTTCTAGATGAAAAGTGGTCAGACACAGGTGAGTGGTGGGGATGTGGAATGCAGATGGCAGATAGACTGGAAGGAGAGATGGGAAATGTTTCTTCAGACTTTAGTTCAGAACATTTCTGATTTTTATATGGACATTAAACTTGGTCAGGCTGAAGTGCCATTTGCTCTAAGAGGGGGTGATGTACACGTATCCCTATGACTTCTACAGAATACATTGAAGCTGGTCGTGGCAGCCTAGGGGACGGACAGATTAGAGTGACACTTATGTTCCAGGATGCCTATGATCTTGGACTCACAAAAAGGATAAGAATACACATATTTTGTCTGTGTAGTTCTAGGTGAAATTATTTTCACCCTTGCCAGATGGCGTAAGATCAGAGATCACGTAGTGTTTCTTACATCGCCAAGGTCGATAATTTTTCTTGATGGGTCAGCAGACTGTTTCCGATGGCCCAGGATCTGTGCCAGGCATTAGCTGTCTAGACAAACACCACACAGCCCCCATCCCTCAAGGAGTTCAGTGTATCATGGAAGAGACAAATTTAAATAGACTTTCAAAACAATGCGTTAAGAGGCTCTTGGTATCACGTATACTGTTATGTACAGAGGGCCCTTGTACTACCTGGGGCAGGGTTCTAGAAGGTAGGGAAGGTGTCAGAAAGGAAATACCTCCTGCACTGACATCTGACAGATGCCCAGAAAACTCTAGACCAGGAGGGTGCGTGGTGGGGACGGGATTCTAGGCAGCTTGCGTGTCTCGTGCAGAGGTCTGGTCATGTCTAAGAGCACTTTGCACTTAGGGAAGGAAGGTCAGTGAGGCTAGAGGCTGTGAGGAACTAACGGAAGCTGAGGCTGAAAAAAAGCAGCAACTAGGTGATGAGAAGGTGTGACATTAATTCAGGGAGTGTGGACTTCCTCACATATGCAGCGGGGAATTATTTGGGGTTTTAAGGAGGAGAGTGACACAGATAAGTCATTAAAATTTAGAAAAGTGGATTGTTCACTCTAAAGAACAGCACTGGGGAGAGTAGAAAGTGGGGTGTGAATTAATGCAGTGGGGAGCGAGGGGCGGAAACTTAATTGGGGGACATTAAGGAATAGAATTGTAGTACTGATGGGGGATAAGGGAATGAAGTAAAGGAAAACTCCCAGATGCATGGCACGGAAAATAGATGGGATGGTGATGCCACTGGTGGAAAAAGTAAACCTAATTCTGAGCGAGTGTAAATTCAAACATACAGAGCATGAGATTTTTATGGGCTAATCAAGTGGGAATGTCTACTTGTCAATTATAAATGTATTTCTGGGATGGAAATGAGATGTCCATGCTGGAGATTTGACAGTTAATCAGTGGACAGAGAGCGGTTGAAGCCACGGGAATAAATGCCACCCACTGACAGTTTACCAAGGAAAAGGGAAGGAGGGCACTTCTGGTTCAGAAAATATGGCAGACCGGAAACTTGAAGACCCACTCACTGAAGACACATAAAAACACAGGACACAATGCAGCCAATCTGTTTTTTTAAAAACACCTTTATTGTGGTATAATCCTTGTTCAGTAAATTACACATATTTCACATGTACAATTTGATGAATTTTGATAGATATCTACACCCAGAAAACCATCACCACAACCAAGATAGCTACCACTTCCATCACTCCCCAAGAGGGGCACTTTTCAAATTCCCATATTTATCCCTTCCCACTCCCTTCTCTCCCTGGTAACCATAAGTTTATTTCCCTATGTCTGTGGGTCTATTTCTCTTTTGTAGTTAAGTTCATTTGTGTCTTTTTTTTTTTAGATTCCACATATAAGTGATATCATATGGCATTTTTCTCTTTTTCTGGCTGACTTCACTTGAAATGAATATCTCCATGTCCATCCATGTTGCTGCAAATGGCATTGTTCTATTCTTTTTAATGGCTGAGTACTATTCCATTGCATAAATATACCACTACTTCTTTATCCAGTCATCTGTCAATGGACAGTTTGGTTGTTGTCATGTTCTGGCTATTAAAAATAGTGCTGCTGTGAGCATTGAGGTACATGTGACTTTTTGAATTAGAGTTTTCTCCTGACATATGCCCAGAGTGGGAAGTCTGGATCATAAGTCCATTTTCAGTTTTTTAAGGAAACTTCACACTGTCGTCTCTAGTGGCAATGCACCCCATCTTAGTGAAACAGAGCCATGCTCAGAAAGTAATGGGTATTCCTAGGGGCCAGACATGAAGTGCAGTGAGCTTGGCCTGTTCAAGAATCAGAGGGCAGTCTGGCAGGGCTGGAGGAGAGTGACCAGGGGAATGTGGTACAGGCAGTATTCAGATCATGTGGGGACCTGCCAGGCTGGAATCAGGAGCCTGGACTTCCAGCCATCCCTTGGTAACCATGGGGCACTTGTTCCAGGACTCCCCCCAGATGCCAACATCCACGGATGCTGACGCCTCTTGTATAAAATGCATAGGACTTGCATGGAACTTATAGGCATCCTCCTGTATACTTTAAATCATCTCTAGATTACTCATGGTATCTGATGCAACATGAATGCTATGTAAATTGTTGCTGGCATGTGGCAAATTCAAGTGTTGCTTTTTGGAACTTTCCATTTTTTTCCAAATATTCCAACTACAGGTTGTTGAATCTGCTGGATAGGGAGCCCTTAGATATGGACAGTGGTCTGTATTCTCAGTCTAATCTAAAATATGAACACATTCTGGAGTGATCTATCACCTCATTTCTGAGCTTCTGTTTCTTCATTTGCTTCCTTAAGCTGAACTGCATTGTTACCCAGAAGCTCCTGATTTTCAGCACACCACTGTAATCTTTTCTGCAGGAAACTCATTTCTTATGTGTTTTTTCTAAAATTTTTATTTCATAGAATTTTTCACCTATAAGGTAAAGTAACTCAAGAACCTGAATATAATTTTTCAAAATATGGAAATAACTAAATTAAAAGATTTCACATGAAAACCAATACCTGTTTAATGAAAGCATTATGAAGAAATAAGACAAAACAAACAAACAAAAAATGGATGTAGCAAGATTGTGTCCAGTCGAGTGTGTTAGTAAAAGAAGGCTGTGTTCACAGTCTCAATTCTCAAAGTTTGTATGACTTCATTTAACACAACAAACACATGATGGGAGTGATGATTATTATTCTATTTTACAGACCAGGAAAGTACATTTCTTATAAACAGATTAGTGGATGTTTCTGTACATATCTTACACTGAAGATCATAAAATCACAAAGAAAAGATCCTTCCTCTGGCAAACAAGGGCTCCTCCAATCGACCTTTCTGGCCCTATGCCCTGACTGCATATGGCCCAGGACAGGTATGCTCAGTAACACGCCCATGAGACACAGCTGAGTGGCCTCCCTCCTCTCCTCCTGAATCCCTCCACCTGCCAGGACCCAACTCAAATGCTTCTCCTCCCTGAAATCCTTACTAGCACTCTCTTGTTTATTTCTAATATTTTTTTAATATTAAACTTTCTGCATTCTTATCTTACTCCTTTGTTTTCTCCAGTGAGGAATGCCATATTCACCCTTGTGTCTTCTACAAACATAGCACGGTGCTGTCTGTTCATTTGTCAAACACTTGAGAGCTTACGTTTCAGGCCCAGGGATAAAAAGGGAGACCAGGCCTTGGAAGGTCGCAGTCTGGCTGGGAGGACTGCAAACAACTGAACACACAATGCCATGAATTCAAAATAATCTTTGAGTTTCTTCAATCTTGCAATTATTGCTGCTGATACCAATCAAACGCACATACCTCTTAATAACTAATTTTTTAAAAGTTTCTAAAATTACAATATACTTCTAGGAATAGCATTTTGCTTATATTATCCAATTGCTTTTACTTAAGTTCAGAACAGTTACTAGTATAAAGTAACCATACCAGCTCGGCATGTTCCCTGTGGTGTACGCACCTGCTCTCTGGCTTGGTCTCTTTCTCTCTTAATTTTTTCCAAGTCTGCTTCAAAAGCTTGCTTGTCTTGCTTCAGTCTTTTGAGATCTTCCAATAAACCATTTTTCTCTTTCTTGATATTCCTAGAAGTACAAAAAAAATTATTCCTAACCACTACAGATTGTGGTAAAGGCTCTCTTTTACCCCATGCACCCGAAGTTCTGCTGCTGATCATATTTCCTAAATTTTAGCTCTGATTTTATTCCGCCCCCTCCAAATGATGATGAGCTTCCCAGAGCTTCCCGGAGTGAGCTATGAGCATGTAGCTCAGCACAGCTGTAGGGCCCTTCCCACGAAAATTCTCACTGCTCCCGGATGACAACGACCTCCTAACTAGCCTGGCTCTTCCACTCCCGGCACCTGCGGTCTGTCCTCCACACAGGAAGAAGTGAATTGTTTTGAAGAGTCCATTAATATCACTCCTCCATCTGAAATTCCCTGGTGGCTCCCCTCTCTGTTAGGGTAAACCCAAAGTCCTTATTACCATGACCTTCAGTGTTACCCAACCCAGTGTTGCCTGCTCCTCTGATGAATGTCCCACAAATCTTCCACCTCCTGCTCCACTCCACAGCAGAGACCTCCTGGCTATTCTGGGAACACACCCAGCACACTCCTACCCCAGGGTGTTTGCACTGACCGTTTCCCCTGCCTGCAGCTCTGCCCCCTGGAGCCAGGTATATTGCTCCTGCACTGGCTCAGGACTTATGCTCAGGTGCACCCCCAGGAAGGCCTTCCCTGATCCCTCTTTCTAAAATGGCAGCCCCCAACCTTGGCCCCTAGGTGTGCTGCTTTATTTTCTTCTCACAACACTCATAGGCACCTGACACAGTATATATTTACTTGAAAGCAGAACTTGATTTTGCTCACCCTTGTGTCACAAATGCAGGAAAAAAATAATGTTTGGCCCAACATTCCACACAAATCTCAATACCCTCATTCCTCTGCTTCACAGAGTCAAACTTATCCTTCAAGACTGAGCTCAAGTGTGGCTCTTCCTGATAACCCCTCCCCACATCCCCATGAAACTTCCAAGTCCCTCTAGCACAGTGCTCAGGGCTTTGTTTCCAATGACCCTGACCTATGTGCAACCATTTCTCTTTAATAAGCTGCAAGCTCTGTGGGGACTGACACTGATGTCACCACCTGGTTACCTGACAGCACTAAGGTGCTCAGTAAATGAACATGGGACTCAACTCAGAGCTGCTGAAGAAACTCAGATTCATGGCAGGACACTTGGTACAGTTCAGTTTCAAAATAAAAATTGTCAGAAGTTTTGTATCACACTACCTTAAAATCCAGTCTTACCAAGAAAATAAATCCATCCATAAAGCCTTGTATTATCATGGGTTTTGGCTGCATCATTTCATTGTTGAATCTTCTGTGTGATATTCTGTGGATGTCATTTTAGAAGAGTTACTGAGGTTCTTCAAGATTTTAATGTCAGACACACTCAGGGGCCTCTGGCTGCCTCTCTGACCTTATCGTCAACCACTCTGGTCCTTACTCCTTTCAATACAAAATATTCAGTTCTTAAAAAATAAAAACTAATTCACAGTGGAACTCTGTGTCACTGAAGATAAAAAGTTTATTTTCTCTAAAGAGTAAAATACTAAATGAGGAGTATAATCTAAGGGAAATGTTTATGTGGAAACTAAAAGAACAGAAACCCTAAGAGTGTTGGCTTATTAGGAATATAAAAATACTTCCTGCCAATTCTCAGAGATAAAAAACAAATCAATGTCCCACAAAGATTTACTGCATTTTTCCTGTGTTGTCTGTACTCCCTTCATATTATTCTAGACTCCTTTCTGAGAAAAACAAATTGCCAGTCATATACATGGAAACTAACCAACCAAATACAGTCTACTACCTGAACCTTAGAATCAATTTTTCTGTTTTTCCAGAGACATTATAAAAGGACTTTAGGACTCCATATATGATCATCTAACCTCAATGTACTAAAGGAATCATTTATTTAATTGTGAAAATTATTTAGAGCTCCAGTTTTGGACCCTGGAATAGATCTTCTCTTTTAAAAACCAGGCAATACAAGATGTGAAATTTTGAAACACTTTACTGAAGCATTTGGGAAGAAAGCAGATGTAAATCTTCATGCATCAGAACTACGCATCATTAGCCTTGGCCTGAGGAAAGGAGCCTTTTTTTCCCCCTAATTTACACAAAAGTGAACTTGCTTGCCAATCTGTGTACTTTCTAGCTTTGTCTGTACAATGTGTGTCTTTTTTTTTCTATTTTGCATGAAAGACCAGTGTGAGCTACCAGCAACCCTGCCTCAGTGCCCTACATTATCTTACAGAAAAATGGAAGAAGTATGTGAATAAATGTAACACATGTAACATTCACAGCCAAAGAAGTTTCTTCTGACAGCAGTCCTATTTGAAAGTTTACGAAAAATGATTAGTCACTTCCTAATAGAAGACAGGACCCTAGCTTGCCCATGGCTGTTGGTTCAGCTCCTTCACTTAACATGTTAAAGGTGGGTGTAGTAACATGCAAAAGCCCTTACAGTGTGAAGCATGATTCCTATGTAGGTGCTGATGCTTCACCAGCTGGCCACAGTGAGTGCTGGTTCTCACCACTCAGACTCTCCTTCTCTGGAGAAACATCCTCACCAAACATCAGCCCCTGCCCCTGTTCCAGAGGATACCCCCACTCACTTCCTGGGACATACTTCAGCCAGGAACTGACTGGCTGGGGGGATCAAATGGCTTTCCCCTAGTTGCCTCAGTTGGGAGCCAACTCTGGAGTGCAGTCTGTTCTCCTGAGCTTCCTGGTGAGAGAAGAATAATGCCAGCCTCTGGCTGAGACCATGGTCTCACTTGCCCTCCCTCCCCCTGCCCACCCCCACATTGCTTCTCTCATTCCCCTTCTCCTGAGAGTTACCCTCCAGAAAATCATTTCCATAAGGACCCCCAGCTCAGGCTCTACATGTTTGGAACCTGACCTAAGACAGTAAGTGATACTGTATATTTATTTTACTATTATTACTAAAAATATTATTACTGAGATGTATTACATAAGTATCCCAGGCTTAATGACTGATCAAAAGGGCTGTTCAATTTCCTAAAACTGATGTCAAATTCAAATATGAATATGCTGAAAATATTGAAGTATGTATTAGTTGTCTAATGCCAAAAGAAAACCCACTAAAAACTAAAAACATGAAAGTTATAAAACTGAAAATCAGTGTATAATTTTTTAAATTTCCAAGTATAACTACATGTATTATTAATATAACAATAAAATGCTTAGAAAGAATTGATTTGATTTTAAGAATTTAAAAAGGACTTACTTTCAGGAAGTTAATTCACTGAATAAGCTCTGGTTTTCTGTGAACATTCACTCCCCATTTTTCTTGTTTTGTTCATGAAGATCTTTCACTTGAGTATACAACTTTTTATTTTCCTTTTCATAAAAAGAAAATTACATTTTAGTTAAGTCAGTAGGACCTATATAACATTAGTATATGTGCTCATGAAAGATACATCCTTTAAATATTTTTAGTCTTTAAATTTCCTCAGTTTTTGAGTAAGCTTTAAAATCTTTTTCAAACTGTTTCAATCTTCTCAGAAGACAATTTGTTAGCTGAAAACAACTGTTTCCAAATTGCTCAAAATTCTTAGTAAACAAAAAAGTTGCAGAACTTCCCAAAGCCAGCGAACCAGTCGGTATAATGTACTGCGTTTCACAAGGGTAAGTGGGCGAGCAACTGCAGGAACAACCACTTCCTGATTTTGCACACCAGGAATGCA